AGGTACTACCCCCATATTATCAATAATAAGGCTGTCGCTTAAGAAAAAGACGCTACATTAACGACTCGTTTCTGAGTCGATCCTCTTCGTTTACCACCCTCCCCCTCCATACACATTTAGCCGAGCTGCTAACGTTTCACCCTCCGCAAACAGAGCATATATTCGGGACAAACGGTGTCATCCAACACCATCTAATGACCAAATAAATTACTTGGATCGCGGATCCTTTGGTGAGCCATCATGTGCCACGGGCCGCGCAGTCACCCAGATATAAACAAACACATACGCAAGCAGGCCTCTCGTGAGTCTGATCTGTGCAAAATACAGTCCACCATCTTGAAATAAAACTGCCATCCACTCCCCCTAATCGAGCTGCACAACTTCATATGCGGCTCACATCCAAAGCCAATAATAACAACAGTAACTGTTAACATTAATAAGACACTGTAACAACTGAATGCAACTTAACCAATTAGGTTAGATATCGCACAGAAAGCTCGTCATCTTCTATGTAACGTTAGTTCAAGAGCGAATTATAGTTCAAAATGGTGCTGTTGTCCAGCAATCATCCGGTGTCGATGCTGTTTATTTGACTCCACTAGCACTGAACATGAGGATTTGCTGACTATGGATGAAAGCCATTCATTGAAGTGGTTCTTCAGAAATGTCTAAATAAGCAGATGTTCTGAAAGGGCATTAAACTGCCCGATTAAATGTGAAAAAGTTAACGTTAGTGGACGAATGCCCTGTTTAATGCTCTTGTCAGATCGCATCAACAACAAACGCTTCTCCGTCCTTTAAATCACAAAACAATGTTATTGACTCACGTTTATCCATTCTGCATGCGAATACGGTTTTGTCCATCTAAATAACTACCTCATCTGTGAGAATTAACCCTATAACGCTTTAAAAAGTTCCCCACATGATCTAACGTTACAGGTGCAGCCGAGGGGCTCCTTACATAATCAGATGAAAATCTGACACAAGTTTGTTGGATAGAAAGGCTTAAAGATGGGCTGCGCCACGTTAATGCAGGCAGCAGCACATAGCCAGACGCTAATAGAACAAAATCCACCTCGCGTAACGGGCACATTAACAGTATTGTGATTTAAAAAACAACCGTTATGCGTTTTCTAGTAACGACGTAGCAGTGCAATATAACGCAGATGATGAGGTAAATAAAAAAAATGGACCTTTTGCTGACTGGCTAAACTCCTCATGCAGCGAGGTAACTTAACGGTTAGCTGCTGGCTAACAAGCTATTGGGGTCAAAACATGCGACAGTGTGGCTTGCTAATAAACAGTTAACTCGTTAAATATGGGCTTGATGTGAAAATGTTGGTTGTGATATTAAACTAAAGGCTGTGAGCTTTTTGTTTTTGCTTAAGGCCTTGACGTACCCTCCATCTCCATGTCCTCGGGCTCGCTGAGCTGCTGCTCGCCGGCTTTCTGCTGCTGCTGCGTGTGATGGTGGTTCATGTTGGCGGCTTTGAGAATGGGAAGATGCTTGGGCTCTTTGTCTCCCTCGGGCCGGTCTGATGGCGGTTCCGCGGGCAGAGGCTGGTGGGGAGTCGGAGGACGCAGAGGTGGGGTAAACAGGTCGAGCCTTTGCGGCTGGGCCTGCACTAAGACGACCTCGGCCTTGTCTGCTGTCAGCGCCGGGGATGGAGGAAGGGAGGCCGGTGGGGGAGCAGGCAGAGAAACGCGGACGTATTTGCTCGCTATTCGCCCAATCTCGGCGCCTGGGTGAAGGGATGCTAACGGTAAGGATAGTCGGAGGCCTCGGGCTTCTGCTTCACGAAGGCCCGATGAATGAAACCCCGGCTTTCCCCCGTAGAAGTGCGGGGCGAATGCAACTCACAACAACCTGCAGCCGGGGAAAACACAGATAGCCCAGCTGAAGCTAGCAAAAGTGATAAAACAAGAAACAGCGCAACTCATGCGCCTCCGCAAGATTATTTTAAATACAACTTTCCCTGCAATATTTCCAGTCCGTGTGCTCCTCCGATTGTCCCTCTTCTGGGGGGGAACGAAGAAAAAACCTATCCATTCAAACCAGACTCTAATGTGAAATCGCACTAATTTAGAAGTTTAAACTCACTAAAATGACTGCGTTTCGCCTCGCCGTTATTTGTAAAACTAACCTGAACACCTAACGCGCAATTGTACACTGAAGCTGCATCCCAAACGGCTATTCAAACGAGAAAAGATAATTTTGCCCGGTCACGGCCAGAGCCTCTCTCACCCGCTCCCGTGGTTTATGGTGTTCAGTTTGAGGTAAAACTCAAAATGGCGGTCGCGCTCCTCTCTGAAATGTCACATCCGCATGGAGATCCAAACAGTGGCGCACACCGCGAGCGACATAAACACAAATGCTGCCTCACGCTAGACTTTATTGAAACTTTTCTATATATATATATATTGTTTATTCATATTTTGCTTTACTGACAGCAGCATCCCTATAGGTTATTATCCAGTTATGTGGGTTGTATAAAATTACGGAAATGTGTAAGTCCATTAAAAAAAAAAAAAAAATCTTATTTAGCAAAAATCGCTCATTGATTCTTAAGACGTGGGACGAACATATCCCACAACTTTATAATTATCACTTGTCAAAAAAAACTTGTCCTCAGACAATTACACAAAACACAATAATAGCCTAGATTAAAAAAATATAGGTATATATTAAACGTATGAAAAAACAACATACAACAGCAATATAGCCTTAATATGTATAGCCCTATTTGAAAGAAAAGCAGGAAAAAAAAAGTTATCAAATAAATTGCATTTTGTTTTTACTACCACCTACTGCAGTTTAAAAAAAAAATTATGAGTTTGTTTTTTATTCATTTTAAGTAATTGTAAATAGTTTGAGATAATTTCCCTCGGCTGCTATTTAATACATCTATTTTATTCAAAATAAATACACTGTGTCAACACAGTAAATATTCATTAGGTAGCCCTCAAAATCATTTGGAAACCACAACAATTCATTTTTTGAAGTAATTGTTGTATTATTCTAATAAATATTTAAATAAATACATTATTATTGTGTCTGATAGTGTTGACCAAATAGGGTGATCAATTTGATTTCTCTGGCATGACCATGGTGTTGATATGTTCAGTCCATTTCCTGCTGACTGAGAAGGATCTACAACATAGTCAACAAAGTCAATGTGTGAGGGGGGTTTCGGAGGTGGATTGCGCAAAAAATATTGGCAAGGAGGACAAGCAGCTGCATGGGCCCTGCTGCATAGTCATTCATGGTTTGAAAACGTCACAGAATTAAACTCTTCTCAGCAACTAATCGTATATTCAACAAAAAATAAACGCTCTGTATTCTGTAATGACTGTCATATATGGTTAATAAATTAACATGATCAAGGTGTTCTGTTTCAAATACTTTTATTCTCAGCCAAATAATGTTAGACAAAACCAATTTGTGTCGTTGTGATTCTTCGATTAACTTATGCTCAGCGAAGCTCCTTTTGTTTACAAGAGGAAATAATTGCTTGATTTCACAATAAAAGCTCATATAGTAATTGGGGTGACTGTGCATTATTACAATTGTTCCCTGGAGCCCTTCAGTGTCCTTGCATTCATTTAATATATTTTCCACATCAGTGCAAATTAATTACAGAATTGACAGATGTTGCATCTGTGTGAGCACATTAATTACAGTCTTTTTTTTATTTTTATAAACTAAACGAACTTATTAGCTCAAGCTAAACAAACAAAAGAGTGGAAATGTGTGGAGTAGCTGCATTGAACTTGACAGCGGTCTCCACATTGTATTGTTTCATATTATGAACAACATTTGTAAACTATGGGTTAGAATAGGCTAGTGATTTGTTTACAGGAATTTGTACAATCCTTTAAAATATTTTCAAAGTTTATATACTAAATAGGATGGGATTTCCTTTAATAGTAAAGTTAGGATTTCCAATAATAAAGTTCAATCCTTTCATCCTGTTTATGTGGACATTGTAATGCTGTAATATAACAGCCATCAAACCTTTTTACATAGTGTACAAAGAGAAGAACTATGACTGGTTTTAATTTACATTTATGCATTTGGCTTATCCAATACAACTTACATTGCATTCAAGGTGTACATTTTATTTATGTGTTTTGTGGGAATCAAACCCATAACCTCAGTGTTGCTAGCGCCAGGAATGCTATTCAAATAGCCATATTTTGAATAGATTTTCATTTAATAGATTTTGAATAGATGTGGCACGCACACTTACTTAATTAATTTAACATGCTTTTTACACTGAGAGCTTTTCATCTCCAAACTTTCTGCCTACAGGTCTGAAGTGGTTTAGCCAATACTTACAATGACACCCACTTGCTCAGAAATGTAATCAAAGCATTATTTCTAAAATCATTGTTTGAGCAAAATTCTCACACCCAACAAACATATCTGAGCAGAATTTAAGTTTTCAGCTAAACCCGCACTGTTAACTTTACCTACAAGAATCCATATGTGGGTCAAATAAATTATTTGACATTAATCAAGTAAATTAGGCCTACTTTACAGACTTCTAACATTAATGTATTTCAGATCATCTAAAACAATTAATAAACGTAACTATACGTGTTTTAAGTTTTAATGTTAGCATGTAGCACGACATACACTAGGCCTATATTAGGCGATACTCTTCAGTTTGGTTCAGTCAGTGATACTTTTCAAGTGGTGCTCGCTGGCCAAATGACGTCCAGCTCCCCCTCTCTGAACCTAATGGGTGGAGCTCAACCATAGACTGAGCTCAACGAGCTCAACCCTATGGCTCAACCCAGCTCTGGCTCAACCTAATTCGATTTAGGGTTAGGGTGTGGCTGGACCTTCAAGCTCCACCCATTATATCCAGAGGGGGAGCTGGATGTTAAGCTGCCTCCCCCCATTGGTTCTCACGTTTGACCATAGTGCAACAGCGTTGAAACGGGCATGCGCAAAACAAGTGGGCGTGTTTTAAATATGATCCGCCCACATCGAGGAACTGCGCAGGGCAAAAGCGATCCTCTAACCGGGGGTAGACAGCTACTGTCCTGGGTAATTACATTTCGGCGTCACAAAAGACAAAACATTTCACTTCATTTCGTTTTAATTCAGGCCCGTAAATCCAGAAATAAGGATATTAACCGACACTGATCGGATGTTGCGTGATTTCAAGAACTAGAATTAACCCACAAGAGCAAGAAATTACAGGGGGAAAAAACGAGCAGAAGTTCACCGAAGTTTCTCAGTATTCATCATGGAGGAGAAGAAGGAGGAGAGCGAAGCGGAGATCCACGAACACGGACCCGAACACTGGTTCTCCAAATGGGAGCGCCAATGCCTGGCAGAGGCCGAAAGAGAAGAGCCGAACGAGGAGGCGGTGGACCAGAACCAGGAACAACTCTGGCATCTCTTCCAGAATTCCGCTACGGCGGTGGCGCAACTTTATAAAGGTCTGTGGGCAGAGAAAGAGACCCTATCAGCGGCCCACAGACTTCCAGCAGCTCGACTAAAAATACCTTTAGCGTCTAGAAAAATCTCGTAGACTTGCTGGTTTTCGACCGAACCACACCTTTCGATCAAAAAACGTATAACTTACCGGTATCATTTGGCCACTAACGTCATCAAAAGCAGCGTGTTATGGTTGTTTTTGAGCGTGTGTATGATAATTAGCTTTAGCCGCGCCGGTCTGGCTGTGTTTGACAGTTTGTTCGTTGTTATTATATTGGCCTTGCTATTGCTAACCGGCTAGCCTGAAAGCCGGCTAATTCGCCCTTTAATATGACATTTTCGTTCCTTTCGGCTAAACTATCTGTATAGGAGTAACTGTTTTCATGCGTAACACATTAACGTTTTATAGTCTTATAAAATCACACATTTTGGCAAAGCCCTGCCGGTTAGTGAGCTAGCTTGTGTCCTTTTGTGGCTGTGTTTCAAAACCTAGTGCACTCAACTGCCTACTTTTGTGCAACATATTATCCAATATAGTAACATTATATCCTTTCCAGGTTGGTTCTCACTAGGGTTTGACACACAGCCATTGTTTGGATTACACGAGGACTATCTGAACTCGCTCTTAAAGGGATAGTTAGTTCACCCTAAAATGAAAACTCCCATTATATTTACTAGCTGTTATGTTGTTCTGAACCTCTATGAAATTCTTTTTTATTGTGAAACACAAAAAGAAACGTTAGGTACTGACAGGAACGGTCACCATTCGCTTCCATCGTTCTTTCATAATCTGCTGAACTGACAAGTGCATCTTTTGCTTTATTTGGTTATTTAAAAAAAAACAATAATGCTATGGTATTAGCTCAATATAAAATGTATATTTAGTGTAATTTTAGTTTGTGTGTGTGTATATGTGTAATATAAATATATAAAATATTTTGATCAGTTTATAAACAATACTTTTATTATTTGTAAAAAAAATTAAATTGATCCTTTTCCCTCTAGAAAAAAACAACAAATATGACCTTTAATCCTTTAATTAATATTCTTTCGTTATTTACTACTAACTCTCAGGTTTTTCAAAAACTGTATGAATTTCTTTTGAACACAAAAGCAGATGTTAGACAGAATGTTAGGTACCACCATTAATTTTCATTGCATCCTTTTCCATACAGTGAGAGTGAATGGTGACCTAGACTGTCAATCCCTAATATTCTTTTATTTATGTAAAGTATCCTTTTAATTGCAGCTTTTGCTTGTACAAATGTATAAAATGGAAAGTGTATTTTATTTTAGCAATAAATTAGCAATTGTTATGGTTAGGCACTTAAAGGGGTAGTTCACCCAAAAATGAAAATTATCCCATAATTTACTTTCTTCTTTTAGCCAAACACAGTCGGAGTTATATTACAAAATATCCTGGCTCTTCCCAGCTTTATAATGGGAGTGAATAGAGCCTGAGTTTTTGAAGCCCCAAAAAAGCACATCATCATATAAGTAGTCCATATGGCTCCAGGGGGTTAATAAAGGCCTTCTGAAGAGAAGCATTGTGTTTTTGTAAGAAAAATATCCATATTTATAACTTTATAAACTAGAATCACTGGCGTCCGTACATGTGTCTAGTTCCGGCCAAAGAGTGATCTCTGGCCCGACGCATGGCGTATTGACAAACTCTGAAGCGCAGGGTATAGAACAAAACAAAACACTGGTCACAAAAATTAGAGGTCCATAATGAGAATTTGTAAAGAGAAATGTCGGAGGATCCTGAGTTTGTTGCCCAGCCCAATTTGTTTGAGTGTACGCCTACATCCTACGTCATGCGTCGGGTCAGAGGCCGGAACTAGACTCTAGTAGGGCCGTTACCGGAACCCAGTGATTATAGTTTATAAAGTTATAAATATGGATATTTTTCTTACAAAAACGTTTTGCTTCAGAAGGCCTTTATTAACCCCCTGGAGCCGTATGGATTACTTTTATGATGGATGGATGTGCTTTTTTGCGCTTCAAAAAACAAGGTACCATTCATTGGCATTATAAAGCTGGGAAGAGCCAGGATATTTTGTAATATAACTCCGACTGTGTTTTGCTGAAAGAAGAAAGTCATATAATACACCTAGAATGGCTTGAGGGTGAGTAAATTATGGGATGATTTAAATTTTTGGGTGAACTAACCCTTTATACGCTGATTTCACGCAGCCGTTATTTTGAAATCGAAAGCGAGGCTCTGGTGGGAAGAAAACCGGAAGTGCCCCCTTTAATCACAGGAGAGTCGCGAATGCGATGGCGTATTGTTGTTTAAAGCTGCCGTCGGCAACATTTTTTTGATCATATTCAGTGAAATCGACACTATAATCTGACAGAACAACATACATAAAGTGGTTTTAGAAAAAAACCTGAGCTTCTAACTCCACCTCGAGCGTGTTATTTGTTTTGCAAAAATACACAGCTCCCGGATCATCGGGTCCAATCAGCGCAGGGGGGTGTGAGATCTGACTGTCAATCACAGATCGGGCACACGCCACCCCTCACCCCTGTATGTTACAATCACATGCACAAGCCTGAAGTTCGCGCAGTAACGAAGAGTGATGGCGGATGTATCTCGCTTTCAAAACACTTAACAAATCCAGTAAGCTCATTTAGAGTATAAATGACGTTAGCAATTGCAATCTATCGGTAGATTAGCCAGGGCAGCATACTTCCAAATACTCCATGGTGTTGATGGATGCTGATGAGACGGGCGCGTTCACAGAAAATCTGGTGCACACGCACTGACGAGCACGAACTCGGTGGGAGGGTATCCGTTTATAGTGGGGGAGGGGCATGAGAGTTGTAAACATTCAAAATTTTGCCTAAGTCCACTCAATCTGCTAGACTTGCCGACTGCAGCTTAAATGTAGAAATGAGTTATTCTAAAACTGTACATACATTTCTTTCATACTTTAGACTATATACAGTGAAATTCATTTATAAATAAAATATTTTTTTTATATATAATTCAGAAAGAAAAAAAAAGAAGCAGGAACGAACTATATACATATCCTATATTGGATATTAACATCCAATAGTGTAAATCGCGGCAGCAGCTTCAGGTTGGTAGTCCAAGTCATTGTTGTCTATCTTTACTTCCGGGGTTCTTCCCACCGGAGCCTTGCTTTCGATTTCAAAATGGCGGCTGCGTGAAATTAGCGTATTGTCTCTTTAAAAATAGCATGGGCATGATTTAATCCATTGCAAAACCAGCTGAATTTGTCATGTATTGTCTACACACACATTTAGAAAAACACGATTTTCCCAGTCTTATAGTGTAAAGGTTAACAATAGAAATCCTGTCTGAATACTATTCTGGACCTAATTTATTTGAGTAATCTCTGTTGTCTTTAAGGTCACATGAGCTCCCCTAATTTATTCCTGTCTTACAGATCGAGTCTGTCATCAGCAAGGACTGTCATTGTGGTCTCCGTTTCAGAACGCTGCAACAGCTGTGACTAATCTTTACAAAGGTATTAAAGATTTGAGTTTGCACACATCTAGTGCCCCACCCTGTTGTAATTGCATAAATAATTAAATTAATGTAATCTGTTCAACAGAGAGTGTTGATGCACATAAGAGAAGCTTTGACTTAGGAATCCAGATTGGTCATCAGCGACGTATTAAAGATGTTTTGGCCTGGGTCAAAAAGCGAAGGAGAACTATACGAAGGGAAGATTTGATAAGTTTCCTTTGTGGTAAAGCGCCACCACCAAGGACTTCTAGAGCTGCCCCCAAACTGACTGTCCATTCTCCTAACCGACCACCTTCATCGGACTCCGTATCATCTGTAGAGACTGATTTACAGCCCTTCTGTGAGGCCATAGCACTACATGGTAAATATTACTGCCCGATCACAGTTAAGATACAGCCGACTGAACATGATTACCATATGACATCATGTCTCAACATTTAGTGACTGCACTTTGTAGAATACATATGGTGGTTATTGATATCTTTTTCTCCTCCCCACTTATATATATATACAGTACTGGTCAAAAGTTTGGAAATTTTACTATTTTTAGTGTTTTTGAAAGAAGTCTCTTATGCTCATCAAGCCTGCATTTATTTGATCAAAAATACAGGAAAAAATGTAATATTGTTAAATATTATTATAAATTAAAATAATGGTTTTCTTTTTTAATATACTTAAATATAATTTATTTTTGTGATGCAAAGCTGAATTTTCATCAGCCATTACTCCAGTCTTCAGTGTCACATGATCCTTCAGAAATCATTCAAATATTTATGATTTATTATCAATGTTGAAAACAGTTAATACAGTGCTTAATATTTTTTCACATTACCTACAGTTGTTAATCCTCTAAATAAGAGTATTTAGAGGATTTGTAAAATAACAGCCACAACATGTTTAAAATGTATCATTATCATGGGTAGCAAATGTGGCATTGACATGTGGAAAAGGTGCATGTGATGATGATGATGATGATGAATTAAATCTCATCTTTCTTTTCCAGGTCTAAGTGGAGCAATGGCCGGCATCAGTGTCCGCTCAAGCACTCCCGGATCTCCGACTCACGTCAGCGGCAGCTCAAATGCAGGGCGCAGACGGAATGGACTGCACGATGTGGACTTGAACACTTTCATATCGGAGGAGATGGCCCTCCACCTTGGCAGCGCGGGCAGCAGGAAGCGGACCTCGGTCCAGTGCGCAGACGTCATTACAGACTCCCCAACCCATAAACGCAACAGAATGCTCTGAGCTCAGTTCTTGTTCTGTATGCTTTGTTTGAAATAAAAGCCACTTAATCCTCAACATTTGCGTTCCCTCAAAAGGAAACAAGGAGCGCAGTACACTTGCATATTCATACTGTGGAGGCTAGTCCATAACGTTCCATGCATGTTGACTTGCGCTTACCGCAAAATGAATCTCATCAGTCAAGTGACCGCATCATGTTTTGAGTTGTATGATGCTGTCAGTATCCAGTTTATTGGAAACATATTAACTGCAGGATTACAACATCTAATAGGCTATTTTTAGTTCACAATACCTCCTAGTTGCGCTTCCTATAGTGCCAAGCTAACAATTATTAATTTAATTTTTTTAGATAATAATGTCAGCATCATCTCATTTCCCATCAGTATATTTTCACTTTTTCTTTGCACTCTCTGAATGGCAGTTCTGTTGTGATCATTTTAGAAATGTGCAACATTATTGGTTGTAATTGAAACTGCTGCTGATCTAAATGTTTGTGTGAACTTGAGATAGTTGCAATAATGATTTTGCACTAATGCATTCAGCCAGACCTGTTTTTTTTTGTTTTAGGAACCATATAGACATCAAAAGAAATGCAAGGGAAGCGAGGCTTATGATAAAATGGTGCAATGTTGACATTTTACATTTCAAGGCTGTTGTGATTTGGTTTAGGGGTTAGGTGAGTCTTTGTGCTATAAGAATGGCTGTCTCAGGAGAGGTATACTGAAGTAGAGGAAAACTGTGTCGTCTTGAAATTGAAGTGTCCTTTTAGTGCTTTTCAAATCCAGGCCAGAGGATTTGGAGAGCTGCACGTGTACTGATGTATAGAAGTCAAGCTGGAGACTGACCCTCTTAGAAGTTGAAATATATGTCAATATGAGTCCCTGGGCGATTAGAGTGTCTGCTCCTTTTCTCTCATATATCACCCTTCATCTAACAGTATGCATTTTCTTTTCCCCTTGTCTTTATTTCTTGATGTATGATGCTTTATGTAGAATGACCAATTAGTTGATATGATCCTCATGTTGATGCTTCTAGATTAATGAGTGTTTGGCATTTCAGAAAACGCTGGTGGTGGGGAATCATGATGTGGAGTGTATGTTGTCAAAACCCAATCAAACTGCTTTATGCAGACATATTTAGTTACATTGTTTCAGAGAATTTGCTTTTTGTTTCTGTAATATGAGTATTGTTTATTGATTTCATGATTAATTTGACAAGCATCTAACGTTGATTGTTCTAAAAAAGTGACTATCATTGATTGAATTGACATGTAAGGCATTTAATTTATTTAATGGTCAGAAAGTAAAGCTAACATTTTGTGAAAGTCTAGTTGGAAAGTAAAATAGTCTACATTATCCAGAACATCATAATGAAACCACAGTTGCCATTTAAAAAAAAAAAAAAACTTGCAAAAGGTATAGGCTAAGTTATTAAAATTACATTTGTATGTTCACATCAAGTGTGTATGTTTTGTTTAACGAAAACAGAATGTCACACCCAAATGAGCCTGATAACAGCTACTTTAATGATTAAAATCTTGTTTGTTCAGTGATTATATTGATCTTTAAATATCTATTGTCATAGCACTAGAATTTGCACATGTATGTAATGCATATTTGTGAGTTTTGCTAAACTGGTCAGGTGCAAGCCAGAGGCACGAGTGATTGCAAAACCTTCCTGACAATCTAAACCTTTATTTGATGTAAAACTATCTATAACACATAGATAGAAAATATTTCAAATCACTGTGATTCTTGTGAGTTTTGTCATAGGCATGGGCTGTATTTGTTGTGAAGTGCTTCAGTAACAGATGCTCAACTGCCCTCTTGTGGTCATTTATATTCTAACACAGAAAATAAGTCAACATATAATAGTTCAGGGTCTGTCAGTCTGGGTGAAACGAATTTTTGTGAACAAAATGAAAATATGCACTAAACAAAAATACATTATTAAACGAACTTCAGCAAAAGTTCAGCTAAATGTTACATTGTCATATTTTGCTATTTTTAAATGGTTTTAATTATAATAATAAAATATCTGTCTGATTCTTTATTTTAAAAAGTTTCTTTTAACTCCTTAACATGGACATTTTTGAAAATAATATATTAATACCAACCCCATTGCATTTGTACACAAATTGCTACTGAATGAAAGCTTAAACATTTGCATTTGTAAACTTTATAACTTTATAAACTGCATTTGCACAAAACCCCAATCCTCAGAAAATAAATAGAAAAACAAAACAGCATCTTCACTGTTTATTTGTTGGAATAAGAAGCGATTTTGAACCCTTTTTATAGAAAGTGTCATCTATTTTAATATGGTGTAACTTTGAGGAGTTTAACGGTCAAAAAATGTTAGAACTTCATTAATTCATGAAAGCTGAAAATGTAGACAAAATACACATAAAAGCGACATATTCATTAATGCTTAAATTAGTGTAATTTGACAGGACAATGTAATGTTCATGTTGACCTCTGTCTCAGAGGTTAACAGCTCACGAAGCCTTAATAATTTACATGAAAGTATTTCAAAAATGTAATAAAATGATAATATTGTTCAGCCGTTTGAATGACAGTGCACAGGACATTTTCTTCATTCGATTTCCGAGTGACCTGATGAAACTGATATGAACTGGTCTCAGGTGGTTTGGATGAAGGGAAGGTCACTATAGCAACAATAAAAAATGTTAGCTGTGTCCCTGATGTTTTTTATTTATTTATTTATTTATTTTATTCAACAATTGCACAGTTTACAGGAACGTTCATCTCCATTATAGAAATAATACATTGTGCAGTTTTCAACATTGCGGGTGTTTTGCTGTGTCCCTGATGTATGGCTACAGTTTGTGTTTGAGTGACGCTGTCCATGACGTCATGTCTTTGCTCAGGGGAGTTTCATTCTGGCGACTGCAGCTAGAAAACACAACACTGGATGGCGCTGTTACTACAGCCGTGTGACCAACGGCAGAAATGGGAAAAGGGTAAAATCGTGCACATAAGGTTATATTCAGCAGGCTCTAGAGTTTTTTATAACTAAAATTAGATGAATGTAGTTATATAATATAATGTTTGTTTGTAGCAACATCAAGCATATACAATACACTACAACAGTAGGCCTATACATAGCGCAAAATAAGGGTGAATAATCGGAAATTACTACTGTGACATGAAATGAATGTGTCCATGAAGCTTTTTCACCAATCATAACATTATTATTATTATTTTTTGCATATATGAAATTTATTATAAAACAGATGGTTTGGCTAGCAAGCAAAAATTCCACCAATGTTAACACTAGCCAGGCTAACTAGTTATTTAGCACCATTATGACTGTCTGCTCAACAGTTGATCTGATTATCTGGTAATCAGCTGCTTTGTTGGCAAAAAGGAAGATGTCAGCAAATGTTAATTGTCATTTAGCATTTATCCGTTGTGTCTCACTAATTGCAGATACTGCCCACCCCTGGAGCAACCTGGGGTTAAATGCGTTAGCACATGGGAACCATGGTGATTGTTATCACAGTAGCCTATTCTCCACTTCCCGGGTCACCCTATTGGGGTTCAACAAGCTCTTTTGAGGGGATATGCTATAATTTGCATCTCGATCTGGTAATTTATGCAATTGGTCATCTGCCCATATCCCCTGTATGTATTTTGCATAGTCCATTTTTGCACCCCTGGTAACCCCAACAAGGTAAAGTTTACATACATAGACATATTGATGGATGGATAGATTAGGCTACGTAAATACTTGTTAAGCTTCCACATGGCCGTACTAAAAAGTACCATTAAAAACTAAATGCAATTTTAAAATGGTTTTGAAATTCTGCAAGGAAATGTAAAATTATGAGCACTACTGTGCATTAACCTGGTAGCCTGGTAATACCAAACTCTGCTACTTTGCTTTGCTTCGTAGACAGAGTCTGGAATGGCATAATTTAAAAGTGTTTTCTATCTCTTTCTCTCTGCCTTTTTTTTTTTTTAAATTATCCTTAATTTTGAATTAATGTAAAACGCGTTGCGGCAGCATGCAGACATAGGCAAGGCGGCTCGCGTGCCTATTGGCTGTCCTGCGGCAACTGCAGCAGCCTATCAAGAGAGGCCCTTGGTGACGTCAGATCCAATGGGGGCGCTTCGCGCCCACTACATCACCTCCCGCCAAAGTGGGCGTGGCCTGGGCCTATAAATATAGCTCGATGGGCTGATATAATCTGATTTTTCATCTCTTCAGCGAAGCTCACGCATCGCTGGATCCGGAGTGAAGAAGCCGCGCTGTCTGAGAAAAGCCTTCTGCGGGACGAGCCTCTGCATCTGAAGCCGCTGGCCTTCATCTCGCCACCTTCAGTTGCCAGACCTGCTACGCTTTCCGGCGTTATATCCTTTTACTCTGCATAGTGTGTGTTCGCCGCCGCGACTCACACTCTCTCTCTCTAACCTCTCTAAAAGAGCAAGCGTCTTTTTAAAGATGCCTTTCTCCTGCGGCTCGTGCCGAGCCCCACTCAGCGACGGGGACCGCCATGTAATTTGCGTTTCCTGCCTGGGAGAGGATCATGCAGCCCTTGCGCTCGCTGACGGCGGCTGCCCTCACTGCGAGCTATTACCCATTAGTGTTGTCACGATACTAGAATTTCTTCGATACGATACCTTGAAAAATATCGATATTCGATACCATTTTCGATACCACAGAGAAAAAATTGCCACAATATTAAGGGGGTATTTTTTGTATTTAAAGCTAAATATAACAAGTCTAGAACATGACAATGAGGTATATTTTACATGAAAAAAAATGTCCTGAGTTCTATTTGTTAATATTTTTTAATTGGACCAGAGCTTACATGATCCGTTGTATTTTTATTACCTACTGTTATCAACGATTAAAATATACTGTAACAAAAAAGCACTTAAAAGTATCAAATTGGAGGATAGAGTGTCAGTAATGTATAATAATAAGATTAAACATTCAATTTTCAGTTAAAAGTAATTTCATTATTGAATTCAGAGATGTCATTGTCTAGCTGTTTAGTTTAATTAGTATCTGTGTAATCAAATTGATGA